TTACTTAAATCATAGTAGTATCCGTTGGTCATCGCTATCCTTCTCCGAATTTCAAAACTTATGTCATTCGTTTTATTTATGGCGGTACAAAGGTATATAAAATCTTTAACTACCTCGAAGCTGTAGTTCTCAAGTTCCACAGTTGGTCCGAGTCTACTAGACGTTTTGCGCTTTGATTCTCGCCGTTTACTGCCAGACCTACTTTGGCAGACTCCATCTCTATTTGTTCAAAGGTGGATGTTACCGCTCTCAGTGTTCGACCCATTATATCGATGTCATCGACATAGGCGAGTAACGTGTGTTGTTCGGTGTACAGAATGCCATTTCTGTTCACCTTTGCGTCTCGTATGACCTTTGCCAGCATGATGTTAAAAAGATCACACGACAAACTGTCACCTTGTCTGAATCCTCGATCGATATTGGAGGGATCCGATAGGTCTTTTGCGACTTTAACTGCTGACCTTGTGTCACTTAAAGTTATCCTGCATAGCCGTATAAATTTTGCAGGAATGCTGAACGTAGCTTTAAACATCACTGTCGATGTGTGGGTCTTTTCTATGATTTAGCGCAGAGTGAAAATCTGGTCAATGGTGGATTTGACAGGTCTGAAGCCGCATTGGTATGGTCCAATAATGCCATTGACCTTTGGCTTCAATCGTTCACACAGCACACTGCATAGCACTTTTTATGCGATGGGAAGAAGGCCAATTCCTCTATAGTTGGCTCATATTGTCTCCTTTTTTGTGCACGGGACACAGAATGCAGAGGTTCCGATCATTGGACATGCATTCCTGTAACCAAATACATTCCTCTAATCTAATTGTAATAATCAGCTGGTGCATGCTTCTGACCAGCATCTGACCACCAGTCTTGAATAGTTCGGCTAGTAACCCGTCGGCTCCTGCCGCTTTATTGTTCTTGAGCCGATTAATTGTTTTTATGACCTCATCTTGGCTAGGTGGTATACATATATAGGTGGTATACTCTATAACATCTTCTCTTATTGGTTCTGGGGTATCTTCTTCACCGAAACTATTTGATACCAGAAGCTTTTCAAAATGCTCCTTCCAGATCCTAAACACGCTGTCTGTATCTGTCACCAGGTTCCCTTCTTCATCTGCACATGAGGATTTGCCTGCACCAAAACCTTCGGTTTGTTGTTTTACTCGTTGGTAAAATTTCCGGACTTCATTCTGACTCCTGCACATTTCGATGTGCTCACGCTCACGTTTTTCTTGTTCTTTCTTCTTTTTTCTGAAAACACGTTTCATTTCACTTCTTTTCTCTCGATAATTCTCCATTACATTACGTGTTGCTACTGTATGTAGGATTGCCCTATACGCTGCGTTTTTTAGATCAGTAGCATTACGACCCTCCTGATCGTACCATGGGTTTCTTGGTGGTGGTTTTTGGTACCCAAGTGTTGCTTTTGCTGCAGTATATAGGGAGTGGCAATTCTTTGCCATTGTGCTTCTATACTATTATCGGGACAAGAAGTGCTTTCGTCAAGCAGGTGGGTAAGTTGAGCGGAGTAGGCTACCTGTTGTGTTTGCAGCTTTTCGACGCCGAGTTTCCGCGTTGTGTTAGATCGCACCTTTGCTGCAACATAAAGACGAGTGCGAACCTTGGCTGCCACAAGGTAATGATTCGAATCGATATTCGATTCTCGTATCGACCGAATAACTTCGGCCTTAAAAATATTCCTTAAAAAGTCCACACCTGTATTGGCCCTTAAAATACTTTTAAAAAATGTTATTGTCCCAAATTATTTATAACTTTCTAATTCTTCCTTTCCCAATCTATTTCATTCCAGGCGAAATTCGTTCATCAATCGCACCACGTAAACCAGAACGTACGGCCAGTATGCGTGAACGTGAGGCACAATTGGAATTGGCACGTAAACGTCATATTGGAATTAATCAACAGTCGAATGGAAACAACAGCAAGGAAAACGTCGATACTCTCTCAATTTGCTCGTCAAATGGTGAAAATGTATCTGCGGATCAACAACATTCCACAAATCCCAATGGTTCTAACAATGCAACAACTACAAATTCTAACAACAACAAGCAACATGCCATTAAAAATATACAAAGTCCACAATTGGGTGGCATCAATGCCTCACGTCAGGAAGGTAAATCGTCGACAACAACAACAAATAATAGTGGCAGTCGTACCAGTACCTTTGAACGTAAGAAAAATGAAGCGAAACCAACAATGTCCAATAAATTGGAAATATTTGAAACAAACGCACAAACGAACAATAACAACAACCAGAACGCCAGCAATGCATCCGATACTTGTTCGATTAAATCGGACAGTCGCACCAATAGCCTCAAGGATACGGTGCGCAAGATCAACAGTACCATTGATAATTACCTAAAGGATAAGAGGGACTATGAGAATATGTATGAAATGGTTAAGACACCATCATCGCCGCCACCACCACCAGCCAGATCGGCGGATTTGCAGGCCTCACAGCGTCTAATGCAAGCGAGACGTAGAGAAAATCTACAATTGGACACCATCTCTGTGGCCAGTTATACACGCAGTGAATATGGACCAGTTAGGACTTATGGCCTTAACAATAGTTTGGGTGAGTAGAGGAGATTTGTGATTTTATCTTTTCAAGGATAATGTTTTTCATGATGTTTACTTTTTCGCTTTTTCGTCTCTATTTTTTCCTTATTCTTTAGCGAACATTCCACGCATGATTTCGGCTTCGTATTGCGGCAGTGAAATGGGTGATTTGGATATATATTCACCCTACAGTTATTATGGCAGTGAAGCGGGTGGTGACATTACTGCTGATATTAATGACAGTGTGTGGGGTGTACCATCGGTAAGTTTGGGAGAGAGGATTTTTTGTTAGAATCCGAAATATTAATGTATTTTTCTCTTTGTAGGCCATGAAGACCCGAGTAAAAGCCACAAATCGCCTACGCATGCGCAAGGGACGCAGTGTCGTCCACAAAACCATCGAGGATAATTACTCAGCTGTTGTGGGAGCCAATCATGAAGCCTTGGCACAAGTTTTGGAACAGGTAAGAGGCGTTCTACCAAAAGAAAAAAATAGGGAAGAGCTTAGGGCACTGATGGTGCTTCAAAAATATTCCGTAAAAAATCCTCGCCTTTAGGCCTGATGATGCTTCAAAAATATTCCGTAAAAAATCCTCGCCTTTAGGCCTGATGATGCTTCAAAAATATTCCGTAAAAATCCTCGACTTTAGGCCTGATGGTGCTTCAAAAATATTCTTTAAAAAATCCACGCCTTTAGGCCTAATGGTGCTTGAAAAATACTCTTTAAAAAATCCACGCCTTTAGGCCTGATGGTGCTTGAAAAATACTCTTTAAAAAATCCACGCCTTTAGGCCTAATAGTGCTTCAAAAACACTCTTTAAAAATCTACACCTTTAGGACTGATAGTGCTTCAAAAATATCTTTAAAAAATCCACGCCTTTAGGCCTGATAGTGCTTCAAAAATACTCTTTAAAAAATCCACGCCTTTAGGCCTGATAGTGCTTCAAAAATACTCTTTAAAAAATCCACGCCTTTAGGCCTGATAATGCTTCAAACATACTCTTTAAAAAATCAACGCCTTTAGGCCTGATGATGCTTGAAAAAATATTCTTTAAGAAATCCACGCCTTTAGGCCTGATGATGCTTGAAAAAATATTCTTTAAAAAATCCACGCCTTTAGGCCTGATGATGCTTGAAAAAATATTCTTTAAAAAAGCAACGCCTTTGGGCCTGATGGTGTTTAAAGAATATTCTTTAAGAAATCCACGCCTTTAGGCCTGATGATGCTTGAAAAAATATTCTTTAAAAACCCACGCCTTTAGGCCTGATGGTGTTTGAAAAATATTCTTTAAAAAATATGCAGATGGTGGATCAACAAATTCTTAAAGGCTGACATAAGGTCGTATAGTCCTTAACCTTATATCAGCTTTTCTGGGTTGGAAGAACTTCTGACGACCTCCTTGTTTGTCTTCTATAGTTCTACTAAATTTTATCGACTTGCTTTAATTTTAATTCCTTTATGTAACATATCCTTCATAACAAACATTTCCAATTTATTTCTTTGCAGCTCCAGCAAACCCCCATTATACCGCCAGCCCTGCGGCCACTTGCCAATGCCATAAACTTGCGTTTTGAAGATTTCACCATCCTCGAAGGAGCTCAAGCATTTGTTGTGGGCAAAAAAGCATTCCATGCCGCACTGTGGACAACAGCACCCGTAACATTGGCCCTCTCCGCAGATTGCAATCAATTAGCCGGCATTGGTGGAGAATTAAGTCAACTATCCGGTGGTGTATCGGGTGCACTAAATCCCATTACAGAATTTTGTGATGTTGTACCCAGCTATCATTTGCCATTAATGCCAACAACAGAAATGACATTGTTACAGGCTACCATATCGGTATTGCCACGTCTGCAGCTGGACACCTTGCAATCGATTGGAGCCATACTAAAGGGTAAATCGCATGTTTTGGATAATAGTAATTTCAATTTTCGTGGTTCGATACCTAATCTGACAATATTGAAAGATGTAGGTGCGCTTAACAACAACAATACGAACAACAACATGAGAAATGGCATGTCGGTACAAAATCTCAGTACTCTCAATGAAGAAATTGCTGGCAGTGGAGATTTAAGTTTGAAATTACCCGAACAGCAGCAGGAACAAAATACAGCCATCAATGGCATGCCAGCATTTGATGATGTCATGACCCGTGAGGTGGCCTTCATAATGCTACAACTTATCAACGGTATGAAACATTTGCAAGTTAAAGCTGTCGAAGAGATGCCATTGAGCCTTTCCAATGTGGTGCTATCCAAGGAATACGATAACAAAGATGCCCAGGCGCGTTTGTGTGTATTACAGGGGTAAGTATTGGAAGATTTTTTTATTTTTGTATGAAGAATAAATTACACATAAGGCAACCAGGACCTTTTGAAATATTTAATAAGGTTCTCTGGAAGACCTATGATAGGTTTTTATCTGCAATTTACGTTTTATAGGGGCCGAAAAGTAGAACGTTATAAACAATTATATAAAGTATTCCGATTAAATTTCTTAAATTAAGAAATTAAATTACTTATTACAAAGTCATCTATCTGAAGAGGGGGTCCATTCTATTTTTCGAATAAAAGTTGATCGAAAATCTTCTAAAGCATATTTTTTTTATATAAATAAAAGCTCTTCACAAAATATAAGATCGGTCTAAGGGAATATATTCCAATAGGTTTTAACCCAAGAGGTTATAAACCCCTTGAACACCTTCTATCTATAGAAAGCCGTCAAATAAACACCTTCAACACAGATTTAAGAAAGCCTTCAAGTATTTATATATCCCCAGAAAATCTAGAAAAATGTTATTCTTTGAAATACCTCTTTTATTTATAAACGAATTTCTATTCTTTAAATGACCTCTGCCATGCTTTTGCCGATGGAAGACCGCTGTAAATCTATTCTACCGATGTCGATCTGAAATGATTTCTTCTTCTAGAATAAGTTTTGAAGCTTGTCGTTTTATGTTATACTTTTTGAAAACCTCTGTCTATAGAAGGACTGTGAAACCCTACATTTTTTAATATAAAAAGTCTTTGTAAGCTCCAGTGGGCAGTCAATCAATACTGCCAAAGGTATATTATCTATAGAAATCTTTTATAAAGATAAGTACCTTTTGAAGGTCTACTATCCATAGAAGCCTTCCCGAAGGTTTTCAGTTTGTAATTGACATTCTGCCTCAACAAGTCTATATTTTTTCTATTACCATAATCTCCTTCGAAGGTCTCCCGAGACATCTTTATAATTTCTAGAAAAGCTCTAATTGTTTCATATCCTTCAACAGCAGAATCAAAACAACCTTCTGCCGACTTATGACTTATTGAACTTTTTACATTTCTATGGAAGATATCCAAAATCGAAGTGTCGTTAGAAAATATTATTACAGTCAAGTACGATTATAGCGAACTAGTAGGGACCAAGCAAATTAGTTCGTTATATCCAATGTAAGGTAAAACATGGGCTTGGCAGAAAAATTACATATTCAGTAAAAATTGGTAGTTTTTGTGTCCTTTTTGACAATTCTTAACGTGCCTCTCGTTTTCATTGATGAATCTGACATTTTTTATAAAGGTTGCCAGCGTTAGTCTAAATATTGACTTTTGTGAGGATTTTCATCGTTCAGTATTACTTATATTTGTGGCAGGTTCGTTATAACCGAACAAAAATATACGAAATCTGAAAGTTGGGACCGAATAAACAGTTCTATACATGATAAGTGCGCTATATCCGTAGTTCGCTGTAAGAGTAAAGGTTTGTATGAAAACTATGTCTTAAAACTTCGGAACCAGAAAATGTGTTCGCTATAAAAAAGATCGTTATAACCGGTGTTCGTTAAAGGCGTAGTCGACTGCATTAATTTTTGTAGAACGTCTAAAAGTATGCTTTAATTTTGTTAAATACTTACAACTCTTTCAAAACAATTTCCAAAGGTATTTAAATTCAGATTACAGAAGTAGGTTGTTTTGGGACTATATTGCATCTGTAGCCGTTTGACGTTTAATGAAATGATTTCTTAAAAGTGTCGCGGATGTGGATATGCCACCACTAAATGATGGTTTGGACAACATATTTTCTTATTTAACGGGCAGCATTTTGATCTCTTCATGATCAACATTCGCAATGCTTTTGTAATGCTTTCAAGGTGGGATATTCACGCTGGCAATACATACCGACAGCCCTTTATGTCACTATAGAGGTTTCCTTATATAGTAAATGTAGCGTAGAACGACGGCTAAGAACCTGCAAAATAGTTCCCTATTAGCCACAGTAAAATATTTGGCTGAGATTTGTTCAGGACTTTTGGATTTTGTCGTCAAAGCCGGTTGTTAGTTATAATTAATTTAAACGGAGTTTTATCCATAGGTGCGTGTCGGAGCTTTTAGGATTTTGCTCCTAGCTTTCACCTTCTAGCTACTGTAGTTGACGTGCGGGAAAAAATGAAAACGAGGATATCGAAAGGATTTTAGGATTATGGACCGTTAAAATACATCTGCAAAATAGGTCTATAAAAGGCACAGTAAAAAAGAAGGACATCAAAATGATTTTTGGTTTATGGACCGTTGGAATAATTTACTTTCAACAAAAATGTATAGGTACAGATATATTTCTTGCAACCAGAAATAGGAGCACTGTTGATTTAGTGGTGAATAATTCAAGATTGCATACCCGAAAGATGTTAGTTACTAATTACTTAGCTAGCTTGTGACAGAACATTTGTTCCATAAGCCGAGCTTAAAAAAATCTCCAGGCGCGTCGGTCTTGCTCGCAGTTCTTGCAATTTGAAAGACCCTGTTTCGAAATGTTCTCTTCCACTTGATATTTCCATCTAATTCGTGGTCTTCCCCTTCTGCGTAAGCCATTATATGCCTTCTGTCCTGGGGCATCCATTCTCACAACATGAACTAGCCAAGGTAGACGTTGCGGCTCGATACGAATGACAATAGATGATACAACTCATGGTTCATTCCACGGCGATATTCACCGTCGACGCAGATCGGCCCATAGATCTTTCGGAAAATTTTTCTCTCAAACACTCCAAGAGCTGTCTCATGTGCTTGCGTAAGTACCCATGCTTCAGATCAGCTCGGGTAGTATCGGCGTCTTGTACAGTGTGAGTTTGGTCTGCCATAGTAGCATCTGTTGGCCAACACTATCCTTCTCCGAATTTCAAAACAGATGTCGTTTGACTTTGACTGCCTCGAATCTGTAGTTCTCAAGTTCCACAGTTGGTCCGAGTCTACTAGACGTCTTGCGCGTCAGCTTGATTTTCTCGTCATTTACTGCCAGACCCACTTTGGTAGATTCCTTCTCAATTTGTTCAAAGATGGATGTTACCGCTCGCAATGTTCGACCCAATATGTCGATGTTGTCGTTGTAGGCGAGTAACATATGCTGTTTGGTGTATAGAGTGCCATTTCTTTTCACATTTGCATCTCGTATGAACTTTTCCAGTACGAAGTTAAAAAGATCACACGACAAACTGTCGCTTTGTCTGAAGCCTCGTTCAGTATTAAAGGGCTCCGAGAAGTCCTTTCCGATTTTAGCTACTGACCTTGTGCCAGTTAAAGTTATCCTACATAGCCGTATTTATTTATCGGGAATGCCGAACGCAGACATGACTTTAAACACCTCTGAACGGATAGGGCTGTCGAATGCGGCTTTATAGTCGACGAATAGGTGAAATGTGTCGACGTGTTTTTCGTGGGTCTTTTCCAGGATTTGGCACAGAGTGAAAATCTGGTCATTGGTGGATTTTCCAGGTCTGAAGCCGCATTGGTATGGTCCAATAATGTCATTGACCATTGACTTCAGTCATTCATACAGCACGCGATGGGAAGAAGACTTAGAAAGAAGTTGGTGAAGGTGGCTAAATTTCAGGAAAATGTTGGCTCTTACTTGGTCACTACCAACTCCTGAAGATAAGATTGTACAATTATCTGTGTATGACTATAGCAAAATATCTAGTGTAGAAATCGGGAGTAACGCTGAATAAATATTGATCAAAATTACAGGTAAACAACGTCTTGCGGGACTCCGCATTTTCATTATGCTTCATTACAATTTTTGGTGTTGCACATTATTGGCATCTGGCAAGCAAACCTTGACATAATTTGACATTCACATAGTCGTTGTTTTGTTGATTAAAGTCACTCACATTCTAGGACGTTATTTCTTGCTAAAGGCTTTCCTAAATTCATATTAATGGGTAGTAAGTGAGAAATGCTGTTTCGGTGTCAAAAGGAAAATGGCTAATGGCAAAGAAGATAAGTAGGGCGGCAGGAATCCCCATTAGGGTTTTAAAAAGTGAATATATCCGGACAATCTTCCAAATATGCTACACTTGTTTTCGATTTATGGACCTCTATATCATTCTTCCATTTGTAGTTTGTCTATAAATTGTGGCCTTCCACATATAAAATATCTACCGAATATCAAATATCGTTTGAAAACTATATCTTTTATTGGATAAAGGCCTTCCATTTTCTGAACATTTTACAAAATTATGAATATGACATTCTGTGTATACAAAAAGATCGCCAATCGCATTAAAACTGCTCCTTTATTCTATAAAAGGTTTCCAAAAGGCAGAAATTCACATAATGTCTTCTAAACATAGAAAACTTTACTAATTATACAGTCCATATTCATTAAAATTATTTCCAAATTGCCAAACAATATTAATATATATTTTTTTTAATTTATTTTCCTTCCAGTACTCAACAAGATGAAGATGAACCCATGGGTACGCTGTGTAAATGTGCCCATGTTGCTCTCACCGAAATGTTGCCGGCCACAAAGATGACACCCATTGTTGCGGATATCTTGAAACAAGATCGTTCGGAATCTCTATCGAAATCAAAATCTGTACTCGAATATATATTATGGGGTCCATCGGACGTGGTTCTGACGGGTTCAACAAAAGAACGAGAGACAGCCCTCCAACGTTGGCTGGATTTGGAAAGGGCCACGGTATTGCATGGTCTTGTGCGTACTCGTGTTGAACTGACAGTTTACGATGAATGTCATCTGATGTTTTTGGTTCGATCCACGGCGAAAATTATGAATGATGCGGCGAAAATTATTGCCAATTACCAGGAACAGCAACAACAATAATTACGATTTAATTAAATCTATCAAAATTTAAGGATTTAAAATCCAAATTAGTTTTTAATTTTGAAAATATTTATAAAAAATTATAAAATCATAAAAATTAATATTATTATGTTACTCGAATACTTTGCTTTGGTTAAAGCCCTAAAAACAGTTATTGTCACTTTTCATTCAGCTTGCCCAGGAAGTGTAAGCGTGTGCCACATTTTCATCCTTTGTATAACGAACAACAATTGCTCTCTATAGTTTTCTTATTTTCTTTAATTAAATTAATATTTGTTATAATTTTTCTCGTTTCGTTTTCGATTATTGTTAAATTGTAAATTTAAAAAACAAAAAAACCTTGTGAATTTTATAAAAATACATTTCTTATATTATTATTTTGTTGCAGAAAAATTGCCCACAATAATTGTTTTTTTATTTTAAATTGTCTGCAAAAATTATTATAATTATTATTATTTTTAAATACTTGTGTACATTTATATGAAATATTTATGTTAATTTCTATTATTCCAATTTAATATTATTAATTCTTATATACTTATTATTTTATTAATTGGTGTTTGCGAACAAATTTATGAAATATTATATCGAATCGAATTATGATTATAAAGCATACAATCAAACATACATAAATATACTTATATACATATATTATATTTTTTGTAATAAACAAATATTTATATTATTTTATATTTAATTAAAACAAAAAAATATTGTTGTGTTTTATTTGGGGATTGAAAAAAAAATGAAAATATATTTTGATGTTATGAACCGACCATGAAATATCTATAGAATATTTCATTCGATCCATTATTTACGTATTATCGAGGGTTTTAACGGAAAGGTATAGAATTTGATTGTTTCGAAAAATACCCTTAGAACAACCTCTTCCATTAGAACAAATCCACTATTAAAGCCCTTTTCATGTACTTTAATCAAGCGCCTAAAATTATGCTTTAATTTTCTTAATTTCATTATAACCTCATTAGAAACGATATGGCAAGGCAGCATGTCCCTGCAAACAGAAGCATTTTTGCCAAGTGCCGAATACATTGATTTTTCATTTTCACATAATAGGCGAACAGAACCGAACAGTAGCTATATTTCGGCACAAGCTTAATTTAAAATTGAAATATCTCTGGAAATACTTAAGCTATTTTGATGATTTTTTCACCAATTTTTAAAGGAAGATATAAAGTTTTAGAATAAAGAAATAGAAAAAATATAGTAATACGAGTGATTTGTAGGAGAAATTCATGAAAAATGTAAACTCAACGAATGTGCAGCAATTTAACTGATTTTTTATATAGTCTTATAGCTGACACAATACTGAACACTGGTATGTCATTCATGTTCTGCTATATCTGTTGAACATGGAATAAAGTGGTATTTTAGACAAAAAGGACAAAAGATGAATTATGGTCTAATAATGTATTGGAATGATATTTTTGTTCGATAATAAGCTATTTTATGACCCTCACGTGATATTAAAAATTAAGGATTATCATCAAAACATCACATTATTTTTCAAACTCGATTGAAAATATATTTTAGAGATTAGGAACAAACCGATCATTTAAATAATATACATGAAATGTTTATTAAATATTTCATAAGACCGAAAATTCAATGATTATCGAGAGTTTTAACGGGACCTGTTATACTCTCAGTTTTATGGCTAATGTGGTATATACACTTTGATACGTTACAAATGTTCCTCATTGAAATATTGAGTTAAGACCCCATGTTTCTTTGGACCAAATCAGTTTCACACAATTTGGAGTCAATTTACAAAAGTCCATCTGTCTGTCTGACCGGCTGATGCGCACGCTAACTCTCGAAGGGCGTAACCGATCTCACACAAACTTTGCTCATTGTAATATTTCTTTCAATCTTAGTTCAAGTTCGAGGATTAGGGTACATCGGTCCACTCCTTCTGTTACCTCCCTCAGAAAATAGTCAAAGTTTTGTGAAAATAAATGTTATAAAATCATGTGATACGTATTCTCCGATTTGAACCAATCTTCTTTGAAAAATATATTATCTTTTCCAAGTCCAGTGCGAGTACAAAGAGTGGAGTTATTGACCCACTCCTTCTGGTATCTCCTCCAAATGTTCATTATTTATATATCCAATATTGGGGATTCCATTCCCCCGATTTGATCCAAACTCTTCACACCGTAACATGTCTATCAAACTCAAATAAAGTTGAGAGATGAAGAAAATCGAATCACCCCTTTTATGGTCAAAATTGAGCTGAAAATGTGTTTTATATATCATGCGAATATTTCAATCGGACCACACTGTCTTGTACCTCCCCCACAAAGGATCAACAATTTTAAAATTAGTTATTCCATTAAAAAAGGGTGTGGATATGCAAATCGTAAATTTTTCTCAAACTAAAATTAATTTCAAAGGCGAGGAAAATCTAATCCTTCTGGCCAAAATTGTGCGAAAAATGCATTTTATAATATCATGCGATCAGAGCATCCAGTTTAAACCAACCCTGTACACAACCTAATATTTTATTGTTGGAAGATAAGCCTTATCGGTACACTCCTTCTAGTACCTCCCCCGCAAAGAGTCAAAATATTGACATTTTGTAAATTTTCTATACAACGAATGGAAAATAGTATTTTAATCCAACTTTTGTTTATCGCCATATTTCATCGTAGTCCAGATCGATCTAAAGATGGGGCTCATTGGTCCTCTCCTTCTTGTACCTTCCCCAAAATGGGTCAACATATTGATTTTTTCCAATAAATTTATGTTGAATGTCCGACTATGCACATCGCCAAATATCGTAAAATTTCTTTCAAACTTAGTTCAAGTTGGAACATGGTATTCACCGGTGCACTGCTTCTCGTACCTCCTGCACAAAACGGTCAAAATGTTGCTGAAATTTAATTTTATAATGTCATGCGAATGGACTATTCGATTTGTACAAACATTTGCACAACCAAATATTTTAAACATGCTTGTATAATGTTGGAAAATGTGACTTATCGGTCCCTTCCTTTTAGTTCCTCCCCCAAAAATGGTCAACATTTTGAAATTTCTTAAATTGTAAATATTTACCATACATGAATATGGGACCCATTGGTCCATTACTTCTGGTAACTTCCTCACAAATGGTCAACATTTTGAACATTTGTTAATCCAATATCAATATAATAGATTATCAAATTAAATCCAAATTTTCCAAATCGAAATATTTTTTCAAACCTACATTAAATTCTAAGGTGTGTTCTATTGGGCGGCAAACCTTCCCAAAGATGGTCACATCCTTGAGAAAACATATATCTTATATAAAGCGAACAATAATAGTTATGTTTTATTCCGTAAACCTCCGCAAAACACAGACTGAGGTAATATATCCGTCGGAAACACCGACTGGCACTTTTTTTACTTGTTATTGATATTTTTGCATGAAATTTCCAATACATTTAATATCTGTAGATTTTTAAAGTTTTCTTATGATATTAGGTGAAATTCTGTGTAAACGATTTAAATTTTCCCTCTTAAAACATCGCACATTTCATTGCAGTTACTCACACTTTACAACCTTTTCTAGGATAACTTACACTTAAATCCATATTATCTGCTTAGAATAAGAAATAGGATGTGTATTATTACAGTTTCCTGAACTCTACACATATTTGCAATTTTCACCTAGAAAACGCCACCAATTCCATTTGATATTAGATTGCAAATAAACTTTAAATTTCCCTCTATACACCACCGAAAAAATAGTCTAAATCGGTTGCATATATACCGAGATATTTCTATTTAAAGTTGACCATCATCCTAAATATGCCTACGTCTGCGTTCTGTTTGCCTATTACACAAAAATGAAAAACCACACAAACCACAAGTGGCAAAAATGACAAAATTCATTATATGTAGTGTTGCCAACCACATTAATTTCTTCTAGTTGTTATGTGAAGATAACATGTAAAGCATACTCTTAGGCGCAAATGAGAAAATGTGCAAAACGGGATCTAAAGATGTTAACGTTTACATCTAATACACAATTTGAAGCCAATTTACTAATATTTTCCTTATATCAAAACTTCTTGAAAATAAAAACAGTTGTTTATTTTTTATATTTTAAAATTTATATTTTATATATATTTTAAAATTTATATTTTAATGATAAATAGCATATTTACGGTTCAGGCAAAAAAATTATAGGTAAACAATTATACACTTTTTTGACATGTTTGCAGATATACTATATAGATAAAATTACAAATTTATAATTTAAAAAAAATTTTTTGCTACGATCGCAGCAGAGAAGGATTTAATTTAAATTTTCGCATACAAAACTGCGACGTTATAATACTTCGTCATCAGACATTCTTCTCTAAGTGATGTGATTTGGCCCCCTGCAATATTTTTTCCGTTGCCAGGAATTAATTCGGTACTGTCCCGATGATTGAATGAGATCTGCAATAAAAACAACACAAATAATTAGGTATTAAAAATAAACAAAAAACAGAGGTAAAAAAAACAAATGTAATTTTAAACCAGTGAGCGGAGCAGTATAGTCGGACGGGGCCGACCATATGATACCCTACACAACTTCCACGAACATTTAACTTTCTATCGTAGTACTTTCTGAGCTTGGGCAATACTTTGTGATATTTGCACCCTCTTGACCGACTAGAGGTCAGTACAGCCCTTCTAATTACTTGTCCAGATTTCCTTCACCGTGGATTGTGTTGTAATGTTCGGTTTTCAATTGCGACCTTTTAGATCGACTCGAATAACCACAAAAAAGTTTTCGGTCCACTTCATCCCAATATTATTATCTGATCATCACCGAAAATTATAGGCTTTGTCCTTTCTTTGAGATTTTCAGAGCGATCCGCGCTATATTTTCGCCCTCTAATGTGGTAATGGGTTACTAAATAATATCTGAATACGTAAACACCTGTAAATATTTAGGTGTAACTCCCACATCTGAGTACATACGACAATATAATTGGTATTAATTT